TTGTATGCACACTTTAACATGTTAGCTAGGCTCCATTCATTAATTACATAAGGACGATTTTGGCTAATTTTGACCCCTCCCTACCCCCCTGTACACAAGATTTTTCGGATCCCCCCTCCCCCTTCGTAAGTAAGTTTTTAACAATCTTAATGTAATTAAAAAAATTAATTACAACAATACAAATGGAAATTACTTGGCATAATCTTACGTAAGAATTGCTTCTACCTCGAAAGCTTCTACTGATAAAATTCTAAAAGAAATGACACCTTGACAAATAGAATATGTTAATTTTTCAATTAGATATTTAAGAAAAACCCAATTTTCAGTGCTTTTACTATTTTTTTATTTTTCTGACAAAAATTAATATTTTTAAGCTCCTTGAAATGGTATTTTGTTATACAATTCAAATTATTAAAAACAATTCATGTGCACGTTCAAAAAATGTCGAAAAGTTATAATTAATATTTAAATGACAAAAATGATCAGTTAAATTTGTAAATGTTAAATTCACTTAAACTGATCAAAGAAGTTTAAGATTATCTATTTACTTGAGTTTTAAACATTATATTTTTTTGTAGAATTGAATTTCAATTTTTCGACATTTTTTTACCCAACTTTCATGGCTTGCATATATTACTAACAAGTGACACCACCTAAGTGTAAATCGCGGATCGAGTTCTAATATGGATCGAAAAATATTTGATACATATTTTTTATTTCGACTGACATGCAATTTTAGGGGTTAAAAATGGATGGTCAAAGCAGAATAGATTCTTGAACAGGAACGCAAACATAAAAATGAGTGAGAGAAGAATAAAGATATATGCTATCCTTCTCTCACTCATTCTTACGTTCCCGTTCAAGAATTTATTCTGCTTAGGGAGCGTTCACAAATTACGTAACGTTTTTTTTACCCCCCCATGTTACACGTTATTGCATACATTAGCGCCATTTTTTCTGCTGTCCGTAACAAAGTGCTTGACCCCTCCCCTCCCCCAAAAAATGTTACGTAATTTTTGAACGCTCCCTTAGGCCTGAAAATGTCGATTTTTAACGTCATGAAGAATAGACTACAGCAGATCAAAGTAATGTATTATTTTGAAAATAAGCATTATTGGTAAATGACATGTACTCACCTGCAGGAATTATTAAAATTAAAGGTGCTTTTATATCTCTAGTATTTTGGTCAAGCAATCGGCTGGATTTAATATTCACGGAGAATCACTGAATTTAATTGGCTCTAACAAAATTCAATTTTCACGGTGAAAATCTAATATTTGTCAGAGCCAATCAAATTCAGTGATACAACCATGAAAATCCAATCCAGCCGATTGTTTCACCAAAATACTGGAGGTATAAAAGCACCTTTATATATAAAAATAGTCTTCTAAAAATTTATTTGAAATTAAAACATGTATTCTAATAATTAATTAAGAAGAAAAAAAAATATATAAAAACGAACACACTATGTCTAGAAAAGATTAATTAATTAATTATTAATTTTTTGTCTTTATATTCACACTTTATATTCTTTTCGTATATTTAAGAAGTCAGTCGAATTTGAATTGAATTACAAAATACCATAGGAACGTTAAAAATTTTAATTTTTGTCAGAGAAATAAAAAAATAGTAAAAACACAGAAAATTGGGTTTTTCTTTGATATCTAATTAAAAAATTAACGTATTCTCTTTGTCAATGTGCGATTTCTTTCAGAATTTTATTAGATTTTAGGAAACAAAAAGGAAAGAATTTCAGATTTTTTAAAGGTCGTTTTATAGTCATCAGAAAAGCAGTGTTTGCCCATTTCCCGACGGTATGAAGAGAAATCTGCTGCGATTTACGCATAAACATATCTTTAGACATATAACCATAGAGATAATATAAATAGAGTAGACAAGGTATAGGCGGCTGCGTAAGAGGGAAGTGTCCTGACATAAACAGAATGGGTTGGAAAGAGAAGAAAGATTTAACACCAGTATCTGTCCTTCAATAAGCACCAGCGCAAAAGAGACACCTACTGGTGCTAAAATCGCGTTCTCTTTCTATCAAACGGACGCCTCTATACAGACCATCTCCACTCTATTTATATTATCTCTATGCATATAACATCGATACTTTCATGCAATTATAGACTTATGTAATTATAGCTCGCTCTCTTAGCCCTTTAAGGTAGTATTACACACCATCAAAAAAATCCAATTTTTTTTTACATTTTGCTGTTCCAAATCATCTTGGAAATATAATCCCAAAATATTAAATCAAAATTCGACGAAATAAAAAAGTTACAGAATAAATTGCAGCGCAGTGTATTCACGCACAAAGCGCCAGTTTTGCGTTTTTTATTTAAAGAAACAAGTATAATTTGTTTATTTAAAAATTTACAAAATTTTCTTATGCACCATTCGAAAGAGCGGTTCTTGGCACATAAGAAATGGCTATTGCAAACTTATTTTTATAGAGTTTAATTGCGAAAATACAGCGTCAAACTTTGATAAAAATTTGTACATTTGGGAGTTAAAACTTTAAACGCGTTTTTCTCGAAACGATATTTTTTAAACTGGCGGACAGCATAACTCGGGTTCTATTTATCCAAAAAAAAGGAAAAAAATATAAGTTTCTTCGTAATTAAAGCCTGCAGGCTTTATGCCTAAAACCGATTATCTATTCCTTTTTGGTTTTTAGCTACGACCCAAAAACTGCCCAAAAAACCCCTTTTTTTTGCAAAATTTTTTGAATTCGCTGCCATTTTATCATTTTTAAATATCTTTTATCGGGTAAGGCACAATGCTCAATCACGCGTCTCAGCTTTAAAACGCTTTTTTTGTTTTTAAATCCGATGTCCCTGAGAGGCTGCAGCTTGTCCGCCGATTGACCAAATTTTTTTTTACCTTGACTTCAGTGCCCTCTGGTGACCAGAAAGATCCAATAAAAATTTTTTTTTTTCTTGAAGAACTATTCGTTCTTCTAAAGTATAATACTATACCTTAAGGACTAAATCCTTTCTAAAAAAACATTGCGATAAAAGGTCGAATAGAAAAAAAATCGAACTCGAAAAACTATCGAAATAAGGAATGAGCATTGAGAATGAAAAATGTAAATAGAAGGGAGAAACATATTTCAAGATTTGAAATGTACAGGTGGCACTGCAGGTGATTTCGTCAAAACTGAGGGTTAATATTTAAATTATATATAAATCTTATTTGTCATAAAACACAAATATTGAAAATGTTTAAATTGTATTATACAAAAAAAATTAATAAGTACAACACTATTTTACACAAAGCGGAAATTAATTTCGGATCTCCTTTAAGTTTTTTATCATGCTTTTAGATTAGAACAGCTGTTACATTGTAGAAATGAACATAACCTATTGAGTTAAAGCCACTTGATTAGCGGGCGATAATTTTAAAATATGTCATTCAACCATGGAGTAGTATAAGGAGACCGAACGACCATGTTAAATCTACGTTAAAAGTGGACCAAATTTTGGTAACCGCTTAGTGTCATGAAAATACGTAATGGAACACTAGCGCCACTGATTGTGTTAAACTCAGCTGGACAGTCAGCCATTGTAAAAGTTTTAAAAATAAGGAGCAATGTATTTTTGGGTTATGTTCAACGTACTTCTAATTTTTCCCACTGTTTACATACTTCCCACCAGAGCGCTTGTGTTCCATTACGTATTTTCATGACACTAAGCGGTTACCAAAAGTTGGTCCACCTTCAATGTACGTCGTTCGGTCTCCTTATACATGCATTTAACTTAATAACAATTAAATATTATAATATATTATTATCCTTTGTTATTAATAAATAATTTATAAAAAAGAAAAATAAACATAATTACAACTAAAGGTAGTGAAAAATATTGTTTCTGAAGAAATTTTTTGATGGTTTTTTTAAATTCATGATTTACATAATGTAATTTTTTAAATTACAATTTCAGTGACTATTTTAAAACACTGAAAAATTTCTTTTCACTAACTTCACATTATAATTAACAATTTATCAGAAATTTAAATTATGTATCTAAAAAGTTTATAAAATAAAGACTTTAAATAAAATCCATCGATAAGTCAACAACAACTTTATCAACAGACTATAATCAATTACATATAAGCAAATTAGGACGTAGTACCATAAAGATGAATATAATTTAAAAATAAAAAAAGCAGAAAATGATTAGTGCAAGAGAGATTCTTAAATCACTCTCTTATTTCATATTCATAAATTTTTTTCTTTACATTTTGAATCGATATGGGATAAAAAAAGCAAGAAGAAATCAAATCATTTTTTAAAATGAAATGAATAAAATGGAAATTGAAAAAAAACAGAAGCAACGAAGATGGCCGTCGGAGGTGCTAGTGTATATAAAAATTTATTTATTATATTTTATGTGATTTTCAAATTTTAGGTTAAAAAAAATTCATTTTTTATTGAAAGTAAATCACTTATAAAAATTTTTATACCGATGTATTCGTTTCGGCAAGTATAATATCTTTTTCAACATTTATTTAATTTTATTTTCTTTCCTTAACTTTCGATATATCGATTTTTTACCATATTGACTAATAAACGATAAAAAATTAATAAAAATGTTAAAAATTTCGTTTTAAAAGATTTACTGCTGTTATTCATTATTAATATACAATATATAATTTTCACAAAAAAATTTGTGTCAATATGACACCGACCCAAATTTTTGTACATTTGGTCTTTATATGCTCGGAAGTGTTTGATGCTATATTCCTTAGGATACTTTCATGCGTAAATCGCAGCTGATTTCTCTCCGTGTAATTTTTAGGTCAGCTATTTTGACTTGTTTATAAAATGATACTGTGTGTAATAAAAATCTTATTCTTCACATTAGTTTACTAACTTTTGGTTTGTTGTGTGTACATCGCCAAAAAATTAATTTTTTGACGAGATATATTTTTTGTCTTATTTTTTTACACAATTTTCCAAATCGTGCTATAATTTAAAATAATTATTTTTATAGAATAAATTACAAGATTTCATCGAAGCAGAAGAGAGAGATGGTAGAGCTATTGGAGAGGACGAAAGCAGTAAAGCCCGGCGAGCAAAAGATATGCAGCAACGCATGGACATAGATGATACTGATATTGTAATTCAAGGCAGTACAATAACGCGGCTCTCAAGAAAACAAGTAAGTGTTTACATTTTTTAATCAAAATTGCTTCAGGATTATTTTGATTTAACCCAATAAGTGAGCCCTAAACGTCGCTTTATTTAAAGAATATTATATTAATTATATTATTATTATTATTATATTATATTAATTTGAACATTTTACATTAATTTAAAATACATACAACAGTTTTCTTTCTTCTTCTTTTCTTGTTGATTTACCAGAAAACATTTCAGTGTAACTTTTAAATAAAAATAACGTAGCTCCTACTCAATCCGATTAATTGTAAGTAAGTTTAGACTTCCGGATGTGAGTTTGAAGTAGCCTGCTGGATATAAAGCGGGAGCAAATACAGCCCTTGAATTCTAATTGTCCATGATGATAATGCTTTACATAAAAACCTTAGCGTTATACATTACAAAATGTATTGATTTAATATAGGTAATTACATTTCTAATTTTGTGTTTTCTAAAAACAGGGCAAAAGTGAACGAGTTTTTTGCCGCTACACACAAAGATGGGCAAAAGACTATTTGCGAAGGCGCTTGGATTGGACTGTTGATGAGGAAGGCGGAAATCCTTCTTCTCCACGACATTTGTCATCTGCAATATGCCCCTGTCAATATATTGAAGAATGGTTGCGGAACAAATCTCGCATACAAGGAAGAGATTTTTGCCCCACATGGAGCACATTTTTGAGAGATAGAGGAATTTAAATCGTTCAATTTATCATTTAAAGACAAAAGGTAATTGGAAATATTAACGGATATTAATGATATATACGCTTTTCTTAAAAGACCACCGCTTAAAAATAAAGCATATTAAAAATAATTTAATAGTTAAATGAGATTAGTATTGAAAATAAGTAAGTCATGGGCTGTCCACAACGTTGCGAATAATTGGAAACCATCATTTGTTATTTTAAGGGGACTTTTTGGTTTAAAATTTCAAAAAAATCGATTTTTTTTGCTTGAAAATGTTCCTTAGTATCATAAAATTACTGCCCCAACACGTTTTTTAAAAAATATGTAAAAAAACAAAAGTTGTAATAAAAAATTGTTTGATAGTCCTGGCTCAAAAACAATTTCGATACAATTCGTTACATAGGATTACAAAGCGCAATTACTTAAAACTACCTCTTTTAATATATAAATTTAATTTATTGTTGGCTAATATGTACCTAATAATGATTTATAAATATTTTATTGATGTAATTTAGTTGACTTTTATTTTTACTATTGCAGATCTGATGTATGTACTTAAAACAAATAACCGTCCATGGAAATTTATACTGTTTACTATTGCATAATGGATTATACAAACATATGTTTTATAAGAAGTATTTTTTTAAAAAAGCAGAGCTTTAAAATATCCTTTACTCTTTAATTACAAATTGTATAGAAACCCCGTCAAACCTTATAATATAAACATATTGCTAAAATTTAGATATTGAGTAGATCTAAACAATGTAACTCACCAAAATGTGAGAATATGTAAGAACTAATGAAAGAATTTAACTAAAAGTTTTTAATTAAAATTTTAGAAACTAATTTTTTTAAGTATGCACTATATGTATATCTTCAAAAATTATCATTGTTTAAAAATATTCCTATACACGTATCAAATGTTATGTATATAGTAATAAAAAATTTTCTACTTTGATCAAGTTAAACATTTATAGTCCTACTATTCCAACCCGCTATAATTTTAAAATTGAATACTTTTCTTAGTAAAAATCAGAATTTACAGTGGAGTTTTTACAACATAGAAATAAGAATATTTCAGATAATCTGCAATTTTCAATTTCTTTCTTATGTCATCCAATTCGCATACTTTTTATTAATTATATTCATTTTTTTAGAAAAAACGTCTTGAACGAGCCATTTGTCTTTGTCCTTTTCCAGAGATATGACTCATGAGAATCTACTCATGTAGATTATCTACGTATTTCATATGCAGGTTCCTACAAAGAATCAATTTTTGTAAGTTTTTTTTTTTTTTTTTTATGTAGAAACCTGAGGAGTTCGTTCTTGGCTTTCAAGGAGATAAGACGTGTTTACATTGTGCTCTCGTCGACTGTGTCGATCTGAGAAGTGAATATAATTCTCTTACCTGTGATTTTTATTATAAAGGCTATTAAAGTGAAAAAATTGTGAAGTTCCTATAAAATTACGCTAATTGTTTATAACTAAGTGATAATGGCAACCAATGATGAACTGAAAACCCTACTCCTGTCGGTCCAAGAGGATGTCAAGTTTACAAAGACAAAAGTTTCCACTATGACGGAGGATATTAAAATCTTGAAAAAAGCGGATGAAGATATACTTGCGGAACTTAAAGATTGCAAATCAAAATGTTCATCTCTGGAAAAGAAAAATACCTTATTGGAAAAACAAGTATCCTCTCTTGAAGAAAAATTACAAGCTATTGAAATTAAAAGTAAAGAGAGGAATGTAATTCTTTACAACATTGATGAACCGACAACAGATCAAATAAACATATTTGATAAAATCAAGAAAATTTTCAACGATGCACAGATGGATATTCCAGATGACGGCATCGAAAAGGTGTTTAGATTGGGCAAAAATATTGGAGCAAGACCGGTTCTCGTGGCTTTCACTAACGTAAGGTACAAAAATATTTTTTTCTCAAAAGCAAGAAATTTACAAACTTTTAAAATTGCTTTTTCCAACGATTTTACCTTTGAACAAAGGGAATTACGCAAAAAATTAAAAGACTACCAATCAAAATTGTCCCTACAAGGAATATCTTCGGTTATTAGAGGATCCCGACTAATGGTAGATGGCAAACTGTATGATATTACAACTGTACAAAAAATGATTAAAAAAGATGAATCTCAGGAAGCGTACTATTCGGATGGAGGAGTGTCAAATGCCTCGACAAGTTCAACAGCGAGCAGAAAAAGAGGTCGTCCATCGAAACAGCTGACGGATTCCAGGAAATTGCAACGCACACAAAAAGAAATTAATATACAGACTTTTTTTTCAAAGGAGAGCCAGAACATAAACAGCACAAACACGTTACCAGACACGAAGACAAGTTAAATCAAAAAGCAAGTAAGAAAACAAGAATTATATTTTGGAACGTCAGGGGAATCGCAAATCTCAAGGACATCGAAGAACACACCACTAGCAATGACATTATATGTATGAGTGAGACTTGGATTGATAATACCAAACAAAACCTCAACTATTCTCACTTCATGAATCACCAACACATCCTCAGCCCAGCTACAAGGGAATCCAAGATGGGAAGAGCAAGAGGAGGGCTTCTGGTTTACTACGCAAAAGAATACAAGGTAGAAAAACTCTATGTAACAGAAGACTTTATTTTCTTGATTGTGAATATCAATAGTAAGAAGGTAATAATAGGCTCTGTTTATACGAATCCCAACTCGAATTTTGAAAATTTCTTATCTAACCTAGACAATTTAATTTACGAGTGCTCCTTACGATTTCCTAATAGTCCGATGATTATAGGGGGGGATTTTAATGCCAAAATAGGTAACTTAAATCAATTGGGGGAGAATTTTCTTTTACAATCTACAAATTTATACAATAATAGATCTAGTTTATTTGAAGAAATAAATAAAAGGGGAAAATTATTAGTTGAATACTTTGAAAAAAATGGCTTTATTGTTGTTAATGGACGAACTAAAAAAGATAATCCCGCTCAGACTACTTACTTAAGTAGGATCGGCTCTTCCATAATTGATTTTGTATGGGTAAACAGTATGGGTACTCAAATTTTGGAAGATCTAGAAATCCTAGAGGTCCCTACTGGATCCGATCATTTCCCTTTAGCGGTAACCTTGATTGATGGACATTATTTTGGAGTTGAAAAGAAAAAGAAAACTTTTTATTACAAATGGAATGAAGATAAAATTAAAGAATATAAGGAAAACATCCCTTACCCAATAATAAATGAAAATAATGTTTCAAATTTGACAATAGATGAACTCTCGGATAAATTGTTGAAGTCAATCAAGGATACAGCTTGTGAATTGAATATGTGTTTGTCTTCGAGTAAGAATGGGTTTAACTCCTCTAAATGCTGGTTCGATTCGGATTGTAAAAAATGTAAAACCGAGCTTAAACTCATACTTAAAAAATGTAAACAAGAGAAATTTACACCTGAAATTACCTCATTTTATATAGAAAAGAAAAAAGAATACTCCAAAATGTTAAAAATTAAAAAAGATAGATATAAAGAATCTTTGTTGGCTGAAATTGCGGAAACCAAAAATTCCAAACACTTTTGGGGGATTATTAATAAATATAGGTCAAAACAAAGAGAGACAAAAGACTTTATAGATCTTGACAATTGGGAAAAGTTTCTGAGAACAATTTACACTCCTAGAAATCCGGATTCCTACTCCTTATCCCTCCCGATAGATGTCAATACATACCTCGATTCCAGTATATCCTTAGAAGAAACCTTGAAAAGCCTAAATAAATGCAAATATGGAAAGGCACCGGGCCCCGATGGGATAAATTATGAATTCTTGATAAATCTTCCAGGTAACTTAATATTATATTTAAATTCAGTATTTAATAGAATAATTGAAAAAGAGACAGTTCCTGAATCTTGGTCTCAAACTCATATTAAAATGCTTTATAAGAAGGGAGATATGTCTGATCCTTCAAATTATCGTCCCATCGCCTTAATTGACTGCATCGCCAAGGTTTTCACTCAGATCCTTTCTACAAGATTGATTAATTGGGCAGAGGATAATCACCTGATTCCTGAATGGCAAGCTGGCTTTAGGAAGAAAAGAAGTTGTGTTGACCACATTTTCACGTTAAATTTTCTTATTCAAAATAGATTAAGATACCATAAAGGTAAAGCTTTTGTTTTATTCGTGGATTTTAAGGGAGCTTTTCCCTCTTTAAATCATAAGTTACTATGGAACAAGCTTTACAAGTTAGGATGTGGATCAAAATTTGTAAAAATTTTAATAGACTTTTATTCCAAAGCCAATATATCGGTGAAGGGCTCTGGGGGAGTATCTGGTGCGGTTGATTTTACGAGGGGGATTATGCAGGGTGATGTATTGAGCCCCTTTTTATTTGCTTTGTTTATTGCGGACCTGGAGGATTTTTTAAGAACCAAAGGAATAAGAGGAATTTCGCTTGATCACCTGACAGAGATAATAATTTTAGCGTATGCAGATGATCTGGCTATTCTTGCAGACTCGAGTGTAGAAATGAATAAAATTCTCAAAGCCGTATATGAATATTGTCAACTTAATGAACTAGAAATAAATATAGAAAAAACTAAAGTTGTTATTTTCAAAAAGGGAGGACATGCACAGAATAACAAATATCCACCTTTTATGTGTGGTAATTCCAGGGTGGAAATTGCAAAAAGCTATACATATTTAGGCATACCCTTCTCTCAATCTTCTGTATTCGCTCTTGCCACAGAAAGTATTATTTGTAAATCTAAGTTAGCCGTAACTGCAACAATAGCTTTAATTAATAGAATGGATTTGAACTCTTGGAAATCCATTGAGAGACTCTTTGAGAGCCTGGTAATAAGTAATATAATGTATTCTGTTGTAGTATGGGGTATTAGATACCTTGACGACATAGAAAAAGTTCAAACCGATTTTTTTAAAAAATTATTACAGGCCCCAAAGAATACTCCAGGATACGCAGTAAGACTAGAGGTAGGAACAACTCAAATCGCTTCTAAGATATTTGAATTTATTCTAAATTACATAGAAAAAATGCAAACAATGTCTGACGAAAGATATCCAAAAAAATGTTTTAATAAAATGATAAGCATAAAAAGACAAAATTCGGGGAAACAAAATTGTAATAAATTTAGCTGGCTAAACCAAGTGGAGAAGTTTTTCGAATTAATAGGAGTGGAGGCTGACTGGGAGTCACCCCTCACGAAAACAAAGAAAATATCTTTGATTAAATTATATAAAGAGAAAATATTCCAGACAGATCTAGGGAAAGCCCAGTCATCTTCTTCTCTAATAATTTTCCCACACTTGGAATTGCTAAAAGAGGCCCCAAAGTATTTAACAATAACAAATGTGTCATTAAAAATAATTAAACTGATAGCTCAACTGCGATTAATAAATAAATACAATACTAGGATGATTGTTAATTCTTCTGTATGTGTCTTGAAATTTGAAAAGTACTGTAAGTTTTGTTATCTTGATATTGAAAACTCCGATTATGTCTTCCATTTACTTATAGAATGCCAATACTTTGATAATGAAAGGAAAAAATATCTTTGTAATAGTAATAACACGGAGGAAATCGAGAATACTTGTCTGAAGGTTTTGATAAATCCGAATTTATCTTCAATTAAAAAACTCGCTATTTTATTGTATAAAATTTTAGTTTAGGAAATATATATTATGTAATAAACTCGAACTCCTTTGTATGAATCAGTTGATTCTTAACAAATAAATAAATATAATATAATATATAAATATGTAGAAACCTGTATAAGGTTAACCTAGAAGATTTTCTAAAGAAAAAATCATGAGATTCTATGTTATTAATATTTTCGACACACAAGTACAGTTTCAGATTGAAGACAAGTTCTTCCATGGGTTCTTAACAAAATAAAAGGATCTCGCGTGAGAAACTTCTTATTAATTTACAAAGGATCTCGAAACAGGATCCTTGCTTGTTCTATCACAGGAATTTTTTATAGGGTTATCACAAAAAAGTGTAAAAAATGATTCAATAATATAACTAATTTAAGCCTAAAAGAAAGAATAATTGTAAAATAAAGGTTTATCATTTTATCATTATTATTAATGAATTATTATTTATATACATCTAATACAATGAAACTTAACCTAAATATTTGATATTAATCGTCCTTTTTTAGCGGCCTTTTTTAATTTATTCATTTTCTTTTCCTTTTTTCTTTTCATTATATTATCTTGTCGCTTATGCTGTTTTTCTTGTATAGTTTTTTGAACGGAATCCATTCTTGATTCCCATTTTTTGGCACTATGCTTCTTTTTCATTTCCTCTCGTTTAATTGATTTCTTTAAAAGTTCTGGATCGTCTCTTAGCTAAATTTAAAAAAAAAATAATATTAATTTCAGATTATAGGAAACCAAAATTCAAAACATTAAGACCAATGTTAAATTTTAATTACATAAATTATTATTTAAAATGATATGGGAAGAGTAGCCCTATTGAAAATTCCTACATAGTTTCCCAGGTGTGATCCTTTAAAACGAATCTATTAGAAATTCTCATAAGATCCTTCGTAAGATCTTACGTGGGATGCGTTTAAGGAAGTTTCCAGACAACGTACGACATTACAGTACGAATTTGTTTCAGGCAATGTTACAGGAAACTATATAGTTTCCTACGTAGGATCCTAAAAAGGATGTCACAACAAATGAAAATTAAAAAAAATTTGATTATTTTTTTTTATTTATGTCATTGTTGCCTTGCTTGTTTTTCGATTTCTAGTATTTCTACTTACAGAGTGTGAGGAAGATTTTTGTTTTCCTCCACAGTCGATGGTTAGGTTAGTGTATAGGGTCTTTAGCTAGCGCGCTTCGAACCCGGGTTCAATCCCCAGTCCCTCCAAATTTATTTTTAAATATTTCTCATAATACTATCTCATAATTACTATCACATATACTAGTGAGTAAAAAACGCAAGGTGTTTTACTTGATACAATTAAACTCTTCAATGTACCACTTCCCTCACAATCTATTCCCTCCTTACCCCGATTATAATTTTAAGCTTACACACTACATTTGAAGCATCAGCCATACAATAATAAAGGCTCGTGCTTTTTTTTATTTTAAAATTTGAAACCTCGAATTTCGGATCAACGTTGGAAAAGCAAACAAAATCAATTCCAATACCCAAATAAAATAATAACCTTTTATTTTATAAATTTCTAAAATCATGTAAATTTCTGTTCTTGGAAAAACAAGTAATTTTCCAACCTGGAAAATTCTTGTTCATGGAGAAACAACAATTTTCCTTAGAATATTTTGGAAGATAATAAACTATTTTATTACAATTTATAATGTATTTTTATTTTTTTAGGGTTCCGTACTCGGTTCGGAACCCTATTAATATCGGTTTTTTTGAAATCGTGTACCCCCCCCCTAGCGGCCACATAAATTTATCTGGAGGGCTGAAAATTAGTACACATATGTATTTTCGCGTGTAGATTACAGGAAAATTATAGCGAACTTGATTGGAGTTGATTATCATAGCGTTGTCAAGGAAAAACCATGAATTTTTACGAAAAATGCCTAAAAATGACTATGTACCCCCCCCCCCTAGCGGCCACATCTTTTGACATAAAGAGCTCAAATTTGACACACTTACGTATTTTTACGTGAAAATTACAGGAAAATTATAGCGAACTTGATTCGGATCAATTTACATAGCGTTGTCAAGGAAAAATCAAAAATTTCGAAAAAAATAATTTATTCTCCCTAGCGCACACAATATTCAACCCAGACAGATCATATTTAGTATACAAATGTATTTTTACGGGAAAAATACAGGGGAAAAAAAGCGGTCACGATTAGAGTTGATGATTAACTTTTTATCAAGTTTTTCAAGAAAAAATGACAATTTTAGGAAAAAAATGTATTTTTCCACCAAAAACGAACAAAATTTTATTTAAAGGAAATTAAATTTATATATTTTAACGTATTTTTGCGTGTAGATTACAAAAAAAATATAGCGAGCATGATTGGAGTTGATTATCATAGCGTTGTCAAGGAAAAACCATGAATTTTTACGAAAAATACCTAAAAATGAGTATGTACCCCCCCCCTAGCGGCCACATCTTTTGACATAAAGAGCTCAAATTTGACACACTTACGTATTTTTACGTGAAAATTACAGGAAAATTATAGCGAACTTGATTCGGATTAATTTACATAGCGTTGTCAAGGAAAAATCAAAAATTTCGAAAAAAATGATTTATTCTCCCTAGCGCACACAATATTCAATCCAGACTGTTCATACTTGCTGTAAAACTCAATTTTTGCGTGAAAAATACAGGGAAAAAATGTAAGCGCGATTGGAGTTGATGATCAATTTTTATCAAATTTTTGAAGAAAAATGATAAATTTCAGAAAAAAATGTATTTTTCCGCAAAAAACGAAAAAAGTTTTTCTACAGTGATTCAAATTTATATATTTTGACGTATTTTTACGTGTAGATTACAAAAAAAATATAGCGAGGATGATTGGAGTTGATTTTTCTGGAATTAATAAACAAATTTTATTTTTTAGATAACTTTCGATTTTTCCTTGACAAGCAGCTACTAGCCTTATATCAATATCTTAAGTTTTATCTCTTTTTGACTTAGAAAGATAAAATTTAATATTCAATATATTTTTAAAATGTAAATACAATAAAAATATTGCGAGTTGAAATAAAATTATGTATCTTATATTTTTTTAGTAAAATATTTTTTAAAAAATAAAATCGGACAAGTGCGAGTTACACTCGCACTGAAATCGAGGGTTCCGTACTCGAAGCGAACTTATTTGGTATAAAAACAAATGTTTAAAAAATATGTGTTGTATGACAACTAATATAAATGATACGAAGAGGAACAATTTTCTTGAATTTTACAAAATTGTTCTTTTTTGTATCACTTATATTAGTTGTCATACAACACATATTTTTTAAACATTTGTTTTTATACCAAATAAGTTCGCTTCGAGTACGGAACCCTCGATTTCAGTGCGAGTGTAACTCGCACTTGTCCGATTTTTTATTTTTTAGCCCTACTGAAGAACGTAGGTACAATCTATAATTAGGTCGTACATAAAAACTCACGTGAGAACGCTGGCAAAATCTCAAGCAACACATATGGGATCCTGTGAGAGATCTTACGTACGAACTCATGTTAGTTATTAATTCGAATTTCGTACATACAGACACATGCGCCACTTATTATGTGACGTATCAAGAAATTGAAAAAGCGAACGCATGTACATTTGTGAACATTTGTACAGGAAAACTACTCTAACCCTACAATCATTTACACGGACGGATCACATAATAAAAAATCCGGATTATCATCCTCAGCTTTCTATGTTAAGCATTCCAACTACTTGGTTGGTATTCCACTGCAGTATGGCGTATCTGTCTTCTCTGCGGAGCTGTATGTCATCTTTAGACCTATCTTATTCGCGGAGAATCACCTCAATAATCACATCCTGATAGATTCCGATTCCTTTACCTTTTTATTATGGCTGAGCTCAAGCAACAGCGGGGGTTCTGAGGCTTAGTTCTGGGCTACTCTGATTTTCGTGATGTTTTCTTTGTAATGTGTGAAGCAATTATCAAGATTTACCTTTCCATTCCAACCCTTTCCACTAACACAATATCTTGCTACGAGAGAAAGGTCATTCATTGAACATTCAGAGTGACTGAACCCTGAGGGATCCTTTCGCTTGCCACGAGTTTCTGTCTATGATGTATTCCACGCTAAAGTGTAAGTCCATCTGCAATTGCATCTCTGATTTTTTTTTCTTTTAGTAATAATTAATTGAGACTAGCCTCCATGAATTTTTTCAAATTTTTTTAGCAAGCCGTTTTCGAGTTATGGAATTTTGAAAATTGGAGAATTTTCATGACTTTTAATTTTTGAATGCTCATAACTTCCTTAAAAATGCATCAATTTTAAAAGTCTTTTTTTTCAAAATGTGTGTTTTTAAACATACTTTTCAAAAAACAATCGAAATTTTTTTTAAACGATATTATTATCAAATTTTTGAGTTTTAACGAAAAAAAGTCATTTTTCTCATTTGACGTACTGATCGATTTTTTTAAAAAAAACTACTTCTTTTTACGAAACTTTTAAGCCTAGCCCGACAATGGGCAAACAATTTTTACGATATTTTTGGAATTTTTCAAAAATTTTGAATTTTTTAAAAATATTTTTGTTTTTTTTATACTACGTACTTTTATGTATTTTGATACGCTGATTTGATTTTAATAATGAAAATCATAAAAAAGTCCCAAAATTTATGTTTTTTTTCGTTTATTGGGTAAAATATGCAAAATTAAAAAAAATGCATAAGATATAAAAAATGTATTTTAATAAGATCTATAACTTTTGTTTGAAAGTTTTTTTTTAATTTTGCATATTTTACCCAATAAACGAAAAAAACCATAAATTTTGAGACTTTTTTGGGGACATCCACGTTGCACTATTTTTCACCATTTTCGACTCCCCCATGTTGCACATTTTGCATACATTAGCGCCATTTTTTCTATTGAATGTTGTAAATCCTTGATCCCCCCCTCTCCCCTTCAAGCGCAACGTAATTTATGGATTGCCCCTTTATGGTTTTCACCATAAAAATCAAACTATTGGGTATTGTCACTATGATTTTCGTAATCAGCGTATCAAAATACATAAAAGTACGCAATTCCGAAAATATTGTAAAGATCGTTTGCCCATTATTGGGCTAGGCTCAAAAGTTTCGTAAAAAGAAAGTTTTTTTGAAAAAATTTCGAAAAAAATCGATCAGTTCGTCAAATGAGAAAAAAGAATTTTTTTCGTTAAAACTCAAAAATTTGATAGTAATATTGTTTAAAAAAAATTTTCGATTTTTTTTGAAAAGTACGTTTAAAAGCATACATTTTGAAAAAAAAGACTTTTAAAATTGATGCATTTTTAAGGAAGTTATGAGCATTCAAAAATTAAAAGTCATGAAAATTCTCCAATTTTTAAAATTACATAACTCGAAAACGGCTTGCTAAATAAATTTGAAAAAATTCATGGAAGCTAGTCTGAATTAGTACTAAAAGAAAACAAAATCGGAGATACAATTGCAGATGAACTTACACTTTGGCGTGGAATACATGCTATACACATTGACTTACCGACTCTATATACTAAATCTATTTTTCACTCTTTTGTTCGTTCTGACAGATGGCTATATCTAAAGTTATTTAAGAAGAAGAAGAGTGAGTGTTTGCGAATGTAATGTTCCGTTTGTGACAGGGACCACGCTTGGGTAGCATGCCTTATACACGTGCACAATAAATATTACATATTTTAATT